AACAATTCACGCAGAAATGAAATATTTGTCAAACGCCCTTTCCAGGACAGTATTAAATATCGTTATACGGCGACCGAAAAATAGTATGCCTGGAAAAAATATTGCTGATCATATAATGAAAAACCGACCCCACGGAGCAGTGTCCTAATTTGGAGCACCACAGTGTCTCAACTGATCAAGACAGCTTCTTATGGAAACCAAAGATTAACCACCATCTTCACAACAGCCCGCCATTGGAAAATATCCTTTGCCAGTCGAATTCAGCCTAACTCACATTATATTTTCTAAAATTAGTTTTAAGGAAAACCGGCTATAAATATTTTAATAATAAGAGTAATAAGGAAAACATTTAACTGCCACATTTAAAGCATGAGTATAATGAATTATGTTAAGACAGATTTACATATATCAGAAACTTTCCGCTACTTTCATCGGCACAAACTACGCAAATTATATAAATTCCTAAAATATTTGCCTTGTGTTTCCTTTTATATACATGTGAAGATACAAATATCTAAATTTTCTCTTTGCATTAAATCATTTCTCTTCGATTTCTTTCCTGTGCAATTTAAGAACTTTCCAGTTGCTTAAAAACACAGCTGCACACGTTGGCATCCTATTCTTTAAACTTAATATTCAAAACATTACTTGTTCTTTTCTTTTCAATACGAAGTGTTTTTTTTTTCTCAAGCCATGTCGTCATTCTAACACGAAACACAAAAACAAAAATAATCAATATTCAAACCTTTAATATAATTTCAAGTCGCACACAGCAAAAATGCACATCAACACAGCAAATTTCGTTCTGTTTTGAGAAGACGTTATTCAACAGAGATTCTCTGCGTGTCAGGCTCGCTACTTACGAAGTCAGTGGCAGAATAACCAGATAAAAAATATATTTAGTAATGCCAACGCGAGATGCATCTCATACAAAATGTATGGCCATTTGTATGTGATGATTTCTGGCAATTTGTCAATAAACATGTATCTCATATAAGTTCAGATATCCAGATGTAAGCCTAACTTTACACAATCAGTGAGTTTCCAACTTGTTTAATTATCATGATCAAATTACATAATATCGGTACAAGGCATCGTCTTTAAACAGCTAACAGTAACCATTCGTGATTTTACGACAATATAAATGCATGCTTTAACACAGAAATACAAAACTGAAGAAGCTCATCATGGGAATGGTAGAGTATTCCACAGACAACTGCCTCTTGTGTGTATAAAAGTAACTGCAAGAAATCGCGTGGAATTGACACCGCCAATATGCCCGAAGAGATACAGAGTTTTAAACACCCTATAAAGTAAAGAACGTAGTTATTCTTCCTGGAGTCAGCCCATGTCAAGGATAGATCTGGCGGCACGCCTCGAGCTTACGGTTCTTTTAAATACAGACATTCACGTTTTACTCGACTAACGCTAAATATTAAAATATTTCGTTCCAAGCTGCAACTCTGTTTTCGGATATCTTGTTTATTTATAGTATATTTTACAACGCTGTCTCCTCAGACTACATAGGCTGCAGTCGAATGATAACATTAATAAATGATTAATTAAAAAGGATATAGAAGGAAGCCGGCTTGGATTATTAGAGGTATTGTCCCACCATTTGTCTGGAGGGACAGATGAAAACTTCGGTCAGGATACCTGACACTAGCAACGTCTTACCACAGCAAGAGACGGTTCGCAGAGAAATTTTTAGTGGACATGTATGGGTAGCAATAAACAGCATGCATCTATGGCGCCTGTGGGTAGAGAAGTGGCATCAGAGTTATTACAAGCAACAGCGCAATAAGATGTCACGGAAACAGTTTAGAAATAAAACTCTAGAGAAAAGTTACCGGAATGCTAACATTCGTCAACAGAAAATAACTAAAATTCTTACAAACGCTTAATTTCGTTATGTAAATTTTGTTCAAGTTATTTTTCTTGAGTTAAATTATAAACACAGCCTAATTCAATGTTGAAATACTTCGAAACAGGTGTAGACTCTGTCTTATTAACTAATAGTAATTAGAAATTCACACTTCGTCATACTTTGCCAGTTATTAAGGTAGCGACATATTTAACAAAACTTAACAAAGGACATAAGAACTAGCGGACAGACGAGTATCAAAAACACGGCGGACGAACGAACAGACACACAAGATAAACAACTCTAAAAACGGAATTACAATTAAATTTTGAAAACAGTAACGTCACTTGTCTAAAAATACGTCACGAAATACCAGTCCACCATAACAAGGAATTTTAAAATGTTTTCATTCTTAATTTGGAGAGAAATTATTAGTAAATTTAATAAAAACAGGCTACATCTTCCCTGAATGTGTAATCAAAATACGGTCATACAATCTCTGTTTGAGGTCAGCTAGCAGTTCTCTGCCAGCGTTCAAAACAAGGAATTATTAATATTTTTCTGACCATTGTTAACTAACTGCAGAATATTTCGCAAATAATACGTTTAAGGAATTCGCTCTACCATAATCTTCAGTTGCCTACTGCCATTATACTGTAGTGACAGTGGTTAGCATGCTAGTATTTCTTAGACAACTGTTTGTCCTTGAGATCCATTCTCGAGAAATATTTCGAAGGCTCGCACATTACTTCATTGTGACATCACAAAGACGATAACCAGACATGCAGGCATATGACGATGCATCGGACCATTTATTTAAAAAGAAGTTTGAAAACATGTTCAAAATTTGAATGTGTACTTACACCGCTCATGCTGTGAGAGGCATAATTCTGCAGTCAATCCGAGTGCTGGCATTTGTTGTGACCAAGATGGGAGACTGGGATGGGGTCTCTGTATGATGTCTGCGGCATACGTAATGAATGTGGGGGGGAGGTCTAATCGAGGAGTACTAAAGGTGCTTCCACAATGCCACAGCCAGTAACATTACGATGACACTAGTAAACGAACAATCTCAAGACAGGGATGTGAAAAACGGTAGAGCACTTACAGTGGTCAAATAAAATACCCATTTACAACGAAACTGGTAAACGCGTTCTGATATGTTTTGAACAGACGCCTGGTTCGAATCTGTCGAATAATTCGTTTATTTAACTACGATTTATTACATGCAATAATTTTACAGCGCCGGTGACAGGCTCTTGGTATCATCAAAAGCTCTGCATATGTGCCACCTAACACTTTTGAACCAAATGACAGGTTTCCAAAAAAATTGGTAATTCGTCACGTTACTGGTGGCTACAGAACCTTCGTACCCTGCCATCAGTCACACCAACAACAGTGCCTCATGATTCAGCGACATGACACTAGTGTTAATATCAATCCTTCATGTATTTGAGTGTAATTCAATCTGTTCTGCCCTATTTATTTGATTAGACCGCATATTCTTCGGCATCGTTACGAATTCCATTGTTTGTCACCACTATATTACCTTAGTTCTTCTCCTAAAATGAAATTCGCTTACAATTATGTTAGGGAAGACGTAAGTTCACCCTGCAGAATAAGGATTTATGTCCACATACCTAACAAAATAACAGATAAAACAACTCAAAACTATCCGAGAATCATTCTTCACGAGCTCACAGCCACTCAGATAGCAAGAAATTTCCCGCTTTGTACACAACCAGATGATTCATTAACGTGTTCACAAAAACCCATAAGTGATCTCTATACTGGGCCAGATGAATCCAATCCTCACCCCCATAACACTTTACTTTAAGATACTCTGTAATATTATCCACCCATCTACGCCCAGGTCTACAAAACTGTTATCTTCAGTCATATTTTTAAACTAAGATTTTGTATGCATTTCTCGTGTATGCCACGCGAGCCCCCTTCATTCAACGCTAGTAGCATCCACGAGTTTTACAGTACACTTTTACACGAATCTCGCGCCCTGAGTTCATCGGCATCGTCTTCAATGAGACTGACGAAACAGTCAACCACAACTGAAGTTACTCGTTCGAAATCAGCCAACACGTGTCTGCCAGCCATTTGAATTTCGCCGACAACGTACCGGTCATTTAAGGACACTAACACTAAACTGCGTACAAGGGGAATCCACGGTTAAACGCACAGGCTCCTCAACTTTTGCATAAAAGGCTCTCGGTTACACAACACAGACCCTACCTCCAAGTCACCCTAAAGAATAGCACACAGAAACTTGACTTATTATACACGATAAAAAAATTCTTGACATTCCTTTTTCCTTTTTATATCTTGGGCCACATAAAAATAAATTCAACCATCACGCAGTCTGGAACTATTTTCATTCTGAGCGGGTTCTATATTTACTGCTCTATGTAATAATGTATCACACGTACACTTCGATCGTTTTACGAAATGTATGATCCAGACAGTTTCTGACTATATTTCTGAATATATTGAAAAGAGTGTTATTTTGTAATAAATTTCTTTATATATAAAGTCCAAGGCACTCCTTTCCAGAAACCATGTAAAGGAATTCAATGAAAGTAATATTTATAATTCTTATTTCGTAATTTAAATATCGACCCCTGTTTCATATTTATGCTTCGTCATAAAAAACGTTCTTTATCTGGTGATATAGTGTCCAATAACCAATATTTCAAGAAAAAAAAACACTCTGATTCATTCCCTAAAACAAATGTTCCCATCGTTCAATTCCAATCTCCTGATCTTGAGAAGGAAACAACAGATTGGTTTCACTCCCCCCTCCACCACCAATTAACAAATTTGAAGAAAAAATGCAGTAGCAAGCAACATCAACTCACGTGGACGAATAACTGTTCAATTGATGCCCGCAGTTTATAGAACTTGGCAATCAGTCATTCTGCAACGAACCTCAGCTGTCATGTTAATATCCACCGGACATTCTGTCATCACATTCGTCACCCACAATTTAGTCTACACTGACGGTTTTATTATAGAAATCAAAGTAACATAATTATCCTTCTCTCTCTAAATCCATAAACATAAATAATAAAGCACTGTTAAAAGTACCCAAAGGTAATTGCGACAATTCTCATACCCACCACAGAATCCAAACTGAATCCAAACGCCGGGACGCCATCATCGTGACATGTCGCGACAATTCATTTTGGCAAAAATTCATCGGAGAGACTCCGGATGCTAGTGGCCATGTGAAGAAAGCGACGGGATAAATACAATTCTAACGAACTGACGTCGAGTGCCCAAACGGACTTCTATCGGTCCAGGTAGGTCTTAAAGGGTTAAAGTCGACTAAAATAAATAGGCTAAGGCGTAAGAAGGTGGTCTCCTCCTGAGGTTATTTTGAATACAGTAATCCACCTTCCAGTTCTACACAAGGCCGGGATTTCTTGACCAGATAAGCAACAATCATGACCTCGGGAAAGAATGCTACATGGAAATTAAATCTCGTACCTCTGACACGTCGGTAAACGTCTACCAGATAAGACGCAACAACCCAGAAGACAGTCGTCTTCATAGTTAGCTGAGGTTGAAAAACGTAGTTAATTATCAGAATACAACTGAATTATTCCAAGGCATAAATAAACACTGTTTTGATGATAACGTTCGAATAAAATACACACCAACTAATCCCATTAGCGCAGGTGCTGGAAGCTGCCCGCGGTTGCATCTCTGATGGAACTTCAGGGACTCTGCTCCAAGGTCGCAGCCAAGTTCTAGCCGCCCGCAGTTGAAACCCTGACAACGACCGCCGAAAGTCCTGTCTGTCTAGACTGAGGACGACCTCAGTGACCTTAAAAACCTCCCCTAAAGACTCGAGGGGTAGTAGGAAGACTTGTTCTCCACAGAGAGTGAAAGGAAGACGATAAAAGAATAGTTGGACCACATCTACCCTATACTACAAGCACAGTCAAGCTATCCAATAAGATTCATCTTTTGAGGCCCACGATCACAATATTGGTCTGTCGTGTGTAATGCTTCTGGGGAAATGTTGCATGCATCCACACAGCTGGACGCATCGTTTGGTACCAAAGTGTTCCTCTGCGTCGTTGTGTTTGCATCGTAAACGCGGATTTAGTGACTTCACCAGTGGCTTCTAGATAAAAGATTGAACAGCGAGTGCTAGCTGTTCTGAACGTGTTGTTTGATAATTCAACCACACGCGCTGTTTAGATTGGTGATATCAATGACAAACTCCAGTGAGGACTTTAAGAATAAGTGTGGTAAACGTGGACGAAAGTTGCACAACACAGTCTTCAGAATCCGCAAACGTCTGACAGGACGCAGACACCTGGTCGCATGCGACAATCTTGCATGCAGTGACGACTGAATGAACCCATCTGTCCATGAAAGATGCGGAGTTTTTTGGCACAAAATTTCTTCGTTGATCCAGGTAAAAAATAAACTACACTATTACAGTCATTAATTTCGCAAAGAAAGTAACTTTCCTTCTCAGCAAGCTTATTATCGAAACACCTGGTCAAGAAATGTTTTTTATAAACACCGAAGGATCATTACCATGTAAACAAGAACCCCGTCAGTGACCCCAACCCGGAGTCACCTGAATCCAATTCATACTGTCACACACCGTATTATTGCAAGATACATTTTAGTAATATCATACCATCCACATGTATGTATCTTATGTAGTCTCCACCATTCACATCTTCCGAAAATATTTCTAGAATTTCTTATCTCCACTGTACGTGATTCCACGCTCATTTCATCTTAAATATGAAAATAATATTTCGTGAAGAGAACAAATTATGAGAATCCACATTAATTTGCAAATTTCTCGTCCTGCTTTTTTCCTCTGCTTTAGTAAAAAATACTTCCCTCACCGCTTTATTCTCAAAACCCATCAACTTATGTTTTCATCAGGCTAGAATACTAATAAAAATCAAACCCACAAAGATATTCTTACACAGAATTAAAACACTGCGCACTCTGGCACATGCGCAAAACAATGCATATTAGGGTTCACCCCATCAATCACACTAGCAGTTCGTATATAAGCCCTTCAAATTCCTTGTGTTTAAACTATGGATTGTTAAGGCTTAGGAGAACTCGCGTTAACGGATAGGATTTTCAACGTGTCCTAAAAAACAACTCAAGTTTCGGTCCATTCCCATTACCACAAAAAACACTATGGAGGATGAGTATACATTAGGGGAGAGTGAAAGAAAAGCGATATTTCTCAAGAAGCTGAAGGCCTGTTGAGCTATTATGTTTTGAAAGTGAGAGTGAAGTGTTTCGTTTCATTTTTGTGCTGTCCGCTCAGTGCTTGCCCTGTTTAGTAGCCAGTTTTCTACTTTCCAAAACTGATATCTTGCTTAGTTATGGAGACTGCTTTAAGATCTGGAAATTAATCAAATAACCGATCTGGTTTACGTTAACAAGATTAATTATCTGCAATTTAAAAGCATAAGTGTTGCTTGTGTGTATCATATGTCTTACCCAGACAGTGATAGTGGCAAACGACTTGCAGCTGGAAAAGGCTTAACATTATAAGAAATAAACAAAGCAAAGTTGTCCCTGGTGCTTAATTAAGCTCCAGACAAAATACTCGGCACTAGATAGAAGCCACTGGATACAGGGCAGGGCATAGCGGGTCTCCACGCAGTGACGATCAAAACATCTTTCCCTTCCGGGAATCGAATGCCTGTCGCCAAGTGTGGAAACTTGGATAGGTCTATTTATATAATAGAACCTCTTAACAGCCAGGAAAAGAACCTAAGCCCTTTGTGTGTGTAATAAACACAGCAACTTAAGAGCATTTCAGTGTTTCTGTTTGATTATTATCACCTGCTAATATTGTCGCTTGTAGATCAATTTGAAAATGAAAATTCTTCTGCTGAGAACATTCGTCTTTATTCATGGATAACTGTTCGAATGTAGGACAGGTGGTCCAGCAACGAAATAAAATTTAAACTAAATTTACAACTTTCGAAGAAAAAATATTTAAATTCAAATGGTTAGAATTACAATTAAAAAAATAACTATTTTATAGTAGTATACGGATAATTAAGCAAAGGCTGGTAGGGTGAATTTGAAATTCAATGGCAAATATTGTACCTAAAGTCATGGAATTAAGTTTATTTCAGATAAATTTATGGAAATGCGTGTTATCTGGACATATTCAAACAACTGGCTATATTAACACTAGACAATTTCACATCTTCATGGCACAGGCGGGCAACATTATGCAGGCTAATTTTATCTATCTCCCCCCCCCCTCCCACTTAACGCTTCAGAAGATAAGAATTCCCGCAAGGACATTTTAAACACCATGTGTCTCATAATACCAAGTTACATTTTCCTAAAGCTTGTGCAACACGCGGTCAAATTTGTATACTTTTCTTTCCCTTAATTTTTGATTTTCAACTCGCGATTTAGAAGATAAATGTTTCAGTAACCAGTTGAACCGCATTTTACATTCTTAAAAGGCCTGTATAATTTTCCCCCCTCCCGTTTTGCTCGCCACTTTATAACATAAAAAAAGCAGAACCACTACAGTGCCGGAGACAGTCATCTAAACCCTGTAAATTCCTAAGTCCATACAAATATGACTTGGAATTAAGCTTTGCCTCACTAAAATCAACATAAAATTACAAGGATCAACAAATTAATGACTCGTGAATAATTGCTACTCCAATGATAATCACACGAAACCAAAAATACAACTGCGAGCAAAATGTAGAGATACTGATTGTAAAAGTAATTGGTGCATATAAATAAACCAACGTGTCTTAAAACTTCAGTTGCTTATACTGAAAGTGTTTACTAAGCCTTCTTTGCAACTCCGCCTGTCATAAAATAGGTTATAACAAACACAAAATATGAGATGTAAAATCTTATACAACTAAAATAATGTATTATCTACCTTACTTAGCATGAAATATATCATACAGAAGTAGATTTTAATCTGCGTTTGACGCTGATGACTGAAACTGATACAGCGAATTTATAAATTCTAACCTACGCCTACTCAAAATAAATTAACTATTGAAAGCAAATTCTTCATTAACACTTTCTCCAACTCTTCTCGCGAAAAAGAGAACTCTCATCTGACATGTAACATTGAAATTGTGTTTGTAAGTGCGGTTATAGCTCGAGAAGAGACCAAATTATTTCCACCAAACTTAGCAAAGGTATGCCTTGAAACAAGGAAGAGATTTTAGAAAGGTAAAATCTCCGAAAAAGTGTCCTGGGTTCGAGACCCGACGATGGTTTCTGTAGCTCCGTAACTAAACAAGACAGAAAAATGGCATCAGGAACAAAATTGTTTGTATCGGCGGGGCGATTACACGAATAAACACAACAAGACTGGTTCAAGTCCCGGTGAGGGAGTTTTCTGTAGCTCGGAAACTAAGCACGATGGAATAACGGCGCCAAGATCAAAGTTGTCTGTTTCGGCTGGGATATTATATTAAAAAGGGCACAGCCCCAGAAAAAGTCGTAGATTCAAAAAGTGGTGAAGATGTTTTCCGTATATCGAAATCTAATTGCTGTAGAAAACTGGAAGAAGACAAACGAACGAAAAACGATAAAACAAAAGTTTTAATAACAAAAGTTTTGCTTTCAGGGAGGAGATTACACCCAAAACTATGAAACCGTTGACTCAAAACGCAGCCTCATAAAGTCAGGCTCAAAAATGACACGAAAACACACTCAAAAAATCACACTAAAGAAATACCCAAGAAATCACACAATACACAAAAATCAGAAGCCAGACTACAACGCAGTCCCAAAGTTGCGGATTCAATAACGCGGACTCAAACAACAATATTCAAAAACCAACAACAAAAAGAATAAAACAATACTAAAAAACCAGACCATAAAGAACAGACTCAAGAACGCAGAGTTAATAACGAAGCCAGACAGATGCAAAATCATTATTTACTACAAACATAAATTTTATCTTGAGATTCAGCTAGTCAAGATATCTCCAATTGTATGAGCCCTATCGTTCACATGAGTCCCTGAATATTGTTTTCTTTTTAATTTGTTAGTTGACTAAATCATTTTTAAAATGTTTCAAGTAGACAGTGGACGCGCAATGGCAAATGGAAATGTCAAGTTCCTAAATTATATTTGAAGGCAAAACTACATTACTCATTTCTCCGTCTTTATATTATTACAACGAATCTCTAAAGTAAATTTATACTGCAATAAATTCATGTATAAATGTGTTATAATAAAATTAGTTCATGAAGAAATATTTTTGTCAGTAACTCAAATAAAATAGTCTATAAACTACTTCAGAGTTCACTTATCAAGTTGGTAGCCTTGTCTCCATAACAGAAGTATGTCTCGTTTGTTCCGCACAATTTTATAAGAAATTGCAGCCGATATCCGCACGCTATAGTCAGAACAAGGCAGTGTCTTATATTTCGGATTACAGAACACTGGTTCGCCATCGATAGCTTTATTCAACACGTATTACGTTTTATTTCGATGTACCTCCTTCCCATAGAACACGGACTAACATGCTCATATAACGGCCATGCAATTCCAATGTAAGGTTAAATTTTGTGTTGTTCCAACATAAGTCTTCTACAAATTATGGCATGCGGCGCTTAAAAAAGATTTCCAGAACACTGGAAAAGGGCACCGTTTACACTAGCGAAAACACTTGTTATTCGTCCAACTAACTAGATGGCTTAGGGAACCCGAAGGTTCATTACCGAATTAACCAAAGCCCTCCACCAGTCCCACCAAAATCCAGTCTCCTTCAACTCCTATCTCCCATAGATCCCGCCTGACATTATCCTCCCATCTACGTCTAGGTCTCCCCAGCGGTCTCTTCCCCTCAGGCCTCCCAACCTCTTGTCCCATCCATGCGCGCTACATGCCCTGACCATCTCATTCTTCTAGGCTTAATCACCCTGACAATATTGGGGGAGGAGTACAGATTTTTAAGCTCTTCATTAAGCAGTTTTCTCCATGTCCCATCGTCTTCTCTCCTAGGCCAAAATAATTCGTCCAACATTTTGTTAAAATAGCTTAAACTGTACCGAAACAATCCAACTGCTTTTTACGACGGGAAATTCTTGTGTCAGAAACGCGGATCACTGTGGTACGGAAACAAGGCTATATTTGCTCATTTTGTCGTGTTCTTATTAATTCTGTTGTCCGTGCTGCGCTCTAGAAACACAAGAGTGAACTGTTAATGGATAATGCGCTTCGGGCTCGATACTTATCGTTTGATGAGGTCGTTAATTATTCCTTCCCGGACAAACGGGACGCAGTAAGCCATGAATACATTTCTATTGTCGCCTGAGGGTCCACTTCAAATGTATTAGGTTCAACTTCCTTAGTATCCCTTAACACAGTTCCTTTAATGAACATCAAGAAAGTGTGAGGCTTACAAATATGCTGAGGAGGTTATAAATAGTATTTTCACTATGCATAAACTGAAACATTAAACAGTAGATGTGTGGAAAATTCAAGAAAGTAAAGTCTGGTAAAGGTTTACCAATATTTCAGAGGTCCTTGCTGTCTCTATCATCGGAGCGATGAATGTCTTCGGTTCTGTTTTGGCTGGTTTCAACCGTGATATTTAGTGCTACCAATCACCGTGTTCACGTAAATTACTGTTGGTTCGTCTTACATACATGTTTCAATATACAAGTGCAATTCATTTATCAGTTTTGAGATTTAAGTTCCATGAATGACAAGGAATTTCTTGACTAACTAATCGATATGAAATTTCATAAAATTACTTAAATGGTGTTAGAATGCTTTATGAATAAAATGTCAAATTCGTACATAATGCAAAATGTGCCAGCCTTCTAAGAAAGGTAAAGCGAAAACACCTATAATCTCTTAACAACAAGAACAGGTATAAATACAAGAATTGGTCTTTTCTGGCGAAAGAAAAGATTCAAAGAGAGGGAGGTTACCCCTCGAATTACCTGATATTTTTCAATAAGGAACAATCTTGTGGAATAACAAATCCTTGCCCCTTTTTCTTTCCGTCACTTTTCTTTTCTTTTCTTGGGTCCACGCGTCCACAAACCGCAAGCGCGTGCCATTATCTAGTCTCTTAAACTCTCCTCGTCACCACTAGAGGGTACGCGAGGGTCACACCTCCTATGTCGGCAACAGTGAGTAAGTCATATTCTTGATCCTTTCCTCAGGAACTGTTCAAGTAACGGTTACAACATTTTTCAGATATGCAGATAAACCATTTCTTATTATTTCTTACGATGGTGTTTTGTATGTAATAGTTTTGGCTAAAACAGACGACGGATAATGTCCAAAATGTTAACCAAAACTATTTCACATCACACTGACATTTTCTACAGCTGATAAAATCAGATGTATATATTTTTTTTAAAATTTCTGAATCGACATTTTTCCATATATTTCACAAACAAAAATACATAATTTCACTGACGGAGGCAGTATGTCCTCTGAAACGTTGGTAAACCTCTACCAGACTACGCAGCGCAACAACCCGGAAGACAGAAATCTTCATACTCTGATGACGGAGGCAGTATGTCCTCTGAAACGTTGGTAAACCTCTACCAGACTACGCAGCGCAACAACCCGGAAGACAGAAATCTTCATACTCTGATGACGGAGGCAGTATGTCCTCTGAAACGTTGGTAAACCTCTACCAGACTACGCAGCGCAACAACCCGGAAGACAGAAATCTTCATACTCTGATGACGGAGGCAGTATGTCCTCTGAAACGTTGGTAAACCTCTACCAGACTACGCAGCGCAACAACCCAGAAGACAGAAATCTTCGTACTTACCGCTGTGAAAACCTCAAATCATACATGTTAAACTACTAGTAA